AGATTAATGAAAACCTTCCCTGCTTTTCCGATCCCGGTTTTGACATCCTCATCTGTGCCTGTGCCGTCTGTAGTTGAGACGATGCTGCCTAGCTGGTCGGTGAGAGACTACTTCCTTTAGATTTCTCCCGTTGGTGGTGCTTGTTGTTGTTGGTTGAGTATCTTCATCACCTCTGTCTTCTCTACGTTCACCTGAAGTCCCGTCTTCTTTCGCTGTCTTACCTCTTCTGTCGACTTGTTGGTTTTCGCCTTTAGATCTTCGAGTTTGTGCGACATTAGACATAAATCGTCATCGGCGACATCCAGATCTTCTACGGTCTTCTCATCGATCACACAGCGTATACCCATCTCCTTGCTCCTCACAGCTCCTTGCATGATACAGTCCACTACAATCAGGAAGATCATCGGTGACGATAGCGGGCAACCTTGTCTTACCCCCATCTTCACTTCAAAGGCATCACTGAGTTTTCCATTGTGAATCACTTGGCATGTAGCATCTTATAGCATATAGCTGTTCAACGAGGTTAAGAAAGGTTTGTGACACTAAAACCGTAGTGTTGAAGTAGCTGTCAAATTACTTCTCGGTCGACGCCATCAAAGGCCTCTTCGAAATCGATGAAGTTGAGGTGAAGAGTTAACTGGCATTCTATGCTCTGTTCTATGATGATGTGTAGCGTCGCTTTGCAATTTGATTTTTCCTGAAGGCAGCCAGCCAGCCTGTTCCGGTCGTAATTTTGAATCCAGAGCATTGTTTAGTCTCTCCACGATGATGCGGCATATTTTGCTTGGGGTGGACAGGAAGAGGAGCATGATTCCGCATCAGTTCTTGCAGAGATTTAGGTCACCCTTGTTTGGGAGTTTGACAAGGTAGCCCTTTTACCAATCTATTGGCAGATACCTTTCCTTCCTACTCTACCTCTCGCCTTCTCCTCCCGCCATTGCTCACCGTCGATACGAAAACCCTTCGTCAACTCACGATATTGTCTTGCTAGGTGAAGACGCTGACGCAATCCAAGTTCTTCTGAAGGCGTTGGTCAGAAATGTGATTATGTGTGGCATGCGTTTCGCTCCTGTCAAATGCAAGATGATGCTCCAGGACTGATCTGATACAACCACTCCTAGTTAATGGTAGGGAGTAAAGTGGTGGAATGCGTCGGCCTCCTCAATTAATTCGGAATTGCATCAGCCCGAACGGGCTGGCAGCTGACGATATCTCAGGTCGGATACAGAGAACCCGTTCGGCATTTGCCGACTTGCGAGATGCCCGACTATCTATCAAAGGATGAGTACATTGTGCTGCAGTCCATTCTGTCCTGTTGTACGGCTGATACATGGCCGTTGAAAGTAGACGGCACGAAGCGATTGTTGGGTTTTGATCATTGGCGTCTATCCTTGTAGCATTGTTCGCGTTTGGTGAAATCACCATGTGAGCGATTTCGATGTCAGGCAAAGGATACTAGGCAAGAAAGGCAAGTCGTTTGACGAGGTTGTGAACCTTAGTCGACCGAGATGGCTTGGATATGTACTGCACGTGCCGAGCCACAGCCTACTCGACATGTCATGCTGGGGGGAGTTGGACTAGGTTGGAGGAGAGTTTAGGGTGTTCAGACCAATACCTGACATCATTTGATGAAGCCCCTGGCTGTTGGTCTGAGGCATGTGAGGAGATGTAGACTGTCTGGTTGGGGTTTCAAGACGAAGGGAATAAGCGGTTGGTGAGTCTTGGTGACATGGCTGGGAACCGGTCACAATGGTCCAGATGTATTCACTCCTTGACATCTAATGCTTCAATATTCCCGCTAACCTTTATCTTAAAAATGTTTATTCTCTCACGTGACTTGATCCCTTGTGGTAATTGTCTTTGTTTTATGATCTTTTCCTCTGTTTAGTTCTCTGAAATATGGAATTTTGCACCTGTGCACTTGTCTACGAGTTTGTTTGTTTTTCTCGGTGTGTGTGTCTTTTATTCAGTGTATGAGGATGGAGAGAAGGTAGTGTTGTCGATTGGTAACCTACTAAATTGTATGGTTTAAGACGTATAATCAATAACTATTCTATGCCTGGTGGTTGGAATGCGGACTGCAAACTCGAAAAATTAGAAATTTAATGTGTGCTTGCTCACTAACTTTATTGTGGAGGCATGAATTTCGGTCTGACAGCATTTTGCCCATTTATCTTGGCTATGATTCAATCTAGTGCAATAGGTGCTGCTTGAAACGAATCCACCTTTGTTGTCTTGCAGTGCATTTTTAAAGCGCTGAGGTTTTTTACAGTTATCGCAAAATATGAATTAAACTGGAGATTATTCCTACGATATCTGTAGTACACATTTCATGTAATAATAAAAGCGATCACTTGTTTTAAGTTAATATATTTGACACTTTATGGAATCCTCAGAATGTTATTTTGCAGCACAGTGACGTTGTACACCAATTTTTTTTTTGAAATAACTAGCCAATGATTGGTGTTTGTAAGATAATTAATGGTACGTGAGTGACTGCAAAAGTGGAATAATTGTTTGGTTACTGAAAATACGTTACTATAAGTTCTTTATTCATTATTATTTCTTCACTAAAGATGTATGCTAAATAAGGAATGGTTGAATTTCGCATTTAACCAAACGTGAATAAAGCTACATAAAATTACTTTTTATTTTTCCCCTGAGAAAATATTAGGTTAAAGTTGTTAAAGGAGGGCTAGTCAGCGTTCGATAAAATATTCGTAAGCGACTGCCTACATCAATTCTGGTGTCTGTTGACTACAGTATCAGCCAGTTGAGTTAGAGAAACATTATTAACCTTACTGACAGCTTTCAAAGCCTTGCGCAATGTACTGTGATTTTCGAAACAACCTAGGAATGAGTGAGTGGGGAGGCGGGGGGGACAATAAACTAGGTAAAATACAAGCATTAGCAAAGTTTACAAGTAGAAATTGAGTGGTATCAAAAGGTTTCAGCTTTCTTATATGGTGCGCTAATCGATAGATTATTTTAGAATTCAGCAAGATATAAGGCAACTAAACAAAAAAGGAAGAAAAACTTTATCAAAAACAGGCATTATTCGACTTGTTTTCTACAATAATACCATCAATATCCCAAGAGTCATGGGACTAAAGCATTTCGCATGTCTTGTTCACACTCTGAGACCGAAGTTAACAGTCTGGAATTCTGAAGAATCTAGCTTAAGACCATTCATAAGAGACCACTGATCAGTTTCCGATAAATCATTTATTTGAGAGCAATCTAATTCAGTTAGAACTGATGCAGTTCCCTAAGGTACATCAGCTTCATCAAGTGATGAGGTTTATCACTTCCATTTATGCAAAATGTATTACTTCCTTTCTGAGAAGGAGGTACACAACTAGTTTGTAACCCAGGCTCAGTATGGGCTGTGACAAACTTGTTTTGCAAGACTGACTTAAGGACAAATTCAAATACTGACTTTTAATCTAAAAAGGTACAGTGAATATGCGTGGCACATTCGTATGAACCAGAAGCAATATCATGCTTGGTAATGGTAGCATCCGAAGTAATTCTACGGTGTTTATAAGCAAATTTCGAACACCTAAAAACCTTCAATTAAGTTTCTTGTCCAAGTTAGACTGGTTTCTCCACTTTGTTCTTTCAACCTTTTTGCTTGATTCAGATGATGACTAAGGTAGGGTGCAATTTTAATATTTTCCCAAGTGCCAGGTTATGTAATGCATTAAAGGTGTCTGTAAGAGAGTGATATAACGTATCAGCACATTTTTAGACAGTAATTGACATACCATCAGGACCTAGGCTTTGAGATAGATTCAAGGATTTAAAAAAGTTGAAAATCGGGAAAACAACCATTTACCTAGCTAGTGACACTAGGCACGATAACATCAGCTTCCTAATGCATAAATGACTGGTTGGAAGCACAGACATGTGAACTACCTATCTATTTTTCACTTATGATTTCTTCAACTAGTCTACATGTATTAATTAGAATATCCAGTCCATAGTTGTTACGAATATCCTGGAAGAATTTGAACTTCATCTGTTCTATTCCATTATAAAAGTAAGTTTAAAATAATTCCAGCGCGTTTAGAAAAATGAAACAAAATCTTTCGGAACTTTTTGCTGTGTACACTACAGCCCCAGTAAAATATTTGGATTTTTATTAGAATCTTTATTAGATATTCATGTATGTAACTGGAAAAGCTGTTGCACACAGCAAAAAATGCTGGGATCATTTTAGAAATTACTTTGTAGTGAGTTGAAATAGTTCTTACATGACAGAAACTTCTTTATTTATTGTGTTTAGGCGTGTTCTGGACTTTGTTAATCCATTAAGTCTTCTAATGGCAGGTTTATCACTCACTTTATCTAACCTCTTCTTTTCGGAGCTTTTTGAAATGTAGTTATAAAAGTCTGTTGAATCTTATAAAGTGTTACACGTTGCCAGCAAATCTCAAGACATAATTTGAGGTAGTACGATTTTAGCGTAAATTAATGTAACACGCCTTGTCTGTAACACATATCTTTAGTATAGTTGTTTTATATGATACCGTCGTGATTGGGAAGCAGATACATCCAGCTGACGAGTCCCAAATAGGACGGAATGTGCATCCTGGATTCCACTGCTAGCCACGATCCATCATTAACATACACACACCTTGTTTGAATGCCGTGTGCTGGGTTTTCTTGGAAAGGTATGCGATACCCTTTTTGTGCAAACTCCTATATAGTTTGAATAAAATACATATTATACTGTGACCTCAATCTGGTAATGTAGCGCATTTACGGACTTCGTATATACTATAATCATTTATAAACACTGGATCTGGTGTGGTCTGCAGAGATTTAAAGTTGACAAGGTCCTCGTACCAAGTGATGCAAAAAAACTGCAGTCACAGTTAATTAGCATGGAATGAACCTGAATAAATTTGTTTGATTTTTATGAAGTTGGATAAACTTTAAAGCTAATGGATTGCGATTTTTCTGCATAAGCACTTTAAACACTTTATTTTTCCAAGATAATCATCAATGACCCTGCACTACGACGTGTCAATGGGAATGCTACATCTGTAGATGGCATTGTACCGAATAATGTTTACACAAAAAGCCATGATTCGCCGTTTAAACCCCATACATCCAATGGTCCTAATACTGGAGGTCATTCTCCAAATTCATCCGGTCCAGTAACATGTGAGGTAATGTCTCAACATGTACCGCCAATCCAGAGTCCAACATCACTTCAATCTGGTCAAGTTGAGCATGTTAATATAAAACGAAACCGAAAACCTACTAAGTGTTGTGTGCTTCAGTGATGGTCGCGTGGATGAAACAGAAAGGTAGGTCAATTATGCGTGTTTACCTTCTGATGTTCTTTTCAGAAAGTTCACTAAGGATCTGAATTGTATTAAATGTGGCCCAGCCAATAGCTACTACTTTGACATGGTAGTCGGGCTTGCATATTACAATGACCCAAATAGCTGTCCTGGTGGAGTACTTTTTCCTTTGAGGTCCGATCATTCCTGAAAAGCGTGTTGGATAGCAGCAAGTCGAAATGTACTTATCGTCAAGGTTTAAATAGCTTACACTATGCAGTGGGTGTTAGGATAAAGTCGTACCATTGGCTAGGCGCTCATGTGACACAACAGTGAGATGTTTCCCCTATACAGTTTGCAGTTCATAATGATGCTACCTTCTCTATGAAAAACGAGGCGGTTAGGAAAGGTCTATAGCAAGAACGCAAACTCCTCCGAGTCCTATGGTCTTCCTGTTCTGGCAGTATGGCATTTCTAGCCAAATTCAAAGTAAAGAAACCTAAATCTCATGCTTCTAAAGGAAACCTTTGTGACCGACCTCAGACAGATTTCCTACGGGCTATGCAATCATAAAATTAGTCTCTCTCCTCTTTCAGTTATTTTTCAAGAGCATCTTCCATGATGTGGGCAATCAGAGCTTACCAACCGCTCACACGCTTCTTGCAGATGTCAAAACTCAAATATCTATATTCCACCTTCTTTATTGTTACCTCCCTCTCCTTCACTTCTTGAAACAAACATTAATACCTTTGTATTTTCTCAGACTGCTCGTCATGCGACCAGAGAAATTACATTTCCCGTCTCTTGAACCACACTAGCGATTTTAAATAAGATCGTTGACCTTCCGAACAATAAACACGAATTGAACAAGAACCTCATTTGTCAAACATATAAAATGTCGAGTATCTCAAGTAAGCTTATTCATTTGATCTCGTCCAGACAATGTGGTGAAACCTTCTAGTGGACTAGCTGATACATGTGTAGCATTGAGCACCTATGCACTCGCAGACTTCAAGTCGGATAATCCAAGGGATGGGTTCTATCAAAATCTGTCAATTTAGCTACATGAAGCAGTGCTTCCAAATATAGTCACAGTAGCAGGTGACTTTAACGCTGAGGTAGATGAAGCTGGACCCATCAGAAAAGCATCCTACAGATATCTACAGTATCCCATACAACTGAACTGAAAGCGGTGGTCGTCTCTAGCAGTTTTGTTCTAAGTCACTTGTTTCTGGCTAGGACTGACCTCAAGCATAAGGAGAGAAATTGTCTCATTTGATGTTCACTGACATCAAACCAACGGTGGACACAGATAGATCATATTGCGGAAAGCTATCTTCAGAGAGGATTGGTGAAGTATTGCCATTCTTCTTTGGAGTTCCTGCGTAGACTTTGATGACGCATTAGTATGGGCGTGTGTATTTTCACACCTAATTGGGCACAGGAAGCAATAAAGAGTGAAGCTCGTGTATTTGACTGGGAGAGGAAGACATAAAGTATGTATCTAGAGAGAAGATATTTAGGCATTCATTTGAACGTGATAGAAATCCTGTTCCTGATGATGCCTCAAGTAATATTAAGTCTACTGTAGAAACAGCAGTAAAGACAGTTGGCAACCCATATCCAGAGGTTAAAAGATATCAATGGATTTCCATAACCTCATCGTGATTGGTTGATGTGAGATGACTCATTCCGGCTGGCTCCGACCGCAACGAGGAGTGAAAGCAACTGAGACGTGAATTGACTAAGAGCCTTCACAATGACCACGAGCAAATGTGGGTGGTTAAGGTGGAGGAGATAGAGAAGGCGTCGGTAATAGGTAATACCAGGCATTTATTTGGGCTTGTTAAGGAAACTAGCCAGACAAAGATCTTGTAAATGAACTTAACGTTCACACGTCATGAATTTATGAGCGATATTTATTTGTTATTCTCTGTGTGACTCTGAATAAATTTCGCGATCGCTGGCAGGAATTTTGAAGCGGAAAGCCACAAAGTTTCAAATGTTTTGGGAATTTTTCGCCCATTTCCCATTTCATGTAGAACTGCTAAATAAAAGTGAATAAAGGTTTCGGAGGTTAGCCCACATGAAATGTCCAACTGATAAGCTTTTGCGACTGGGTTCTCAATGTCGCAAAATTTACTTACGTGCGCCCCTTCTTAATCGCTCCCGACCTATTTTTGGTCGCAATGTTATAAAAGGATATGTTACTTAAGTTAAATAAAGGCGTAAATCTCCATATAATGACTTCACATTCACATACGATTAATGGTCTATGTGAAATTCAGAGGTGATGTAGCTGCCGATATGTTGAAAGCCCGGTTCTTGAACTCCTTCTAAAGACCATTTTTCCGACAACGATAATAGTTTTTCCAGTCTAGCAACCTATCAAACAAGGTGTCCTATCTGATCACCTCTGTGTGATGCCCATTGTTCTGTTCACTCGACTCTCAATCGTTGGGTCTCGGATTCGAACCACTCTCCGCCTACCTAGGCTTGGCCAGCCAGTCCAACATTCATCCTCATATGGTAGGTGTGTCTCATTGCCTACTGCAAAAGTGTGCACGTGGTTGTTGAACGCATTTCGTTTTTTCTTAGACCAGTTCACCTGCTTTATGGGGCTAGGTATAACAGTCATACGTGTTTTCTGTCCAGACAGACAGGTTAAATCCACGTTGAACCCGCACAAAAGTTCATTGGTTCAAGTTGTCACACTTCACAATAGCATCCAAAGAACAATTGGATGGAAAAAGAATGATATTCATGTAAGCAAAAGGTGTATGAGGAGAGAGAATGAATAGATAAAGGGTGGCGAAAGCGTTCAAACTTTCGAACGCGTCAAATAGTGAATACAACGGCGCCATTGTAACTAACTTTCAGACATTTCACCGTGAGTCTCTAACAATTGATTCCTATGATCCTAGGGACCCCAGTCATGCAGCAACAGATAGCTATTTAGACTTACCAGGGAAACTGGGGAGAAAAGGTCGGTGGTTAGTGAGACTATGGTGGAGAAGAATGGGTCTGTGATGCACTCACTAGGGAGACGACTGAAGCATTTCGGAGGACAGTTCAACTGACCTCCAGCAACTATCCTGTTCAGCGGCCGATAACTGTTACTTTGACGTGACCGGGCTTTCGTATCAAAATGACCCAATGGGCTATGCTAGCGGAACGCTTGTTCCATCGAGTTCCTGCCGTACTAGAGAGATCTGTTGGATAGTGGTAAAAAGAAAAGCAGTTACCGTTATAGTGTGGATTACTACACTATGATGGGGATCCGAGAGCAAAGTCCGTACTGCTGCAAGCTGGATGGGGTGCGATGGCAGTGAAGTGTTTCCGTTAGATGACTAGCAGTGCCACGCTGATGCAGTCTTTCAACGGAAAGAAGGTGTAAGAAAAGATTGACACAAAAATAATACGCACGCACCCCGTCACGGCATGCCTATGCCTACAACAGGGATTTATAGTAGGTTTGAAAAGCTAAAACCCTAAATCTTAAAATTGTCAAAAGGCTGTGTGACCGACCTCAAGCGAGTGTTCCATGGGCTTTGCGATCATACAATATCCCTTTTTAAGGTACTTAGGGAGGGAGGAAATAGCCTGGCAGCCGATAAGAGTCAACCGCCCCCACACCTTAAATATTACATAAGACCCAAATCAAACATACAAAACCTTTCCTTCAACTCTGTCACCTCCTGATACTAATATTAAGCCTTTCACATGTTCCCCAATCTTTCTCAGCAACCATTACCAATGATCAGAGACATTACAACCTCATTCCTAGTCTCCTAAGACCCCACCACAGATTTCATGCTAGAGCTTTCAACGTCCAAACTCTATGCCAACCTGGACAGCAAGCAGCGTTGGCCAGAACTCTGAAATCTCTAACCATAGATGTACGCTGTCTCTGAAACACGCGTATACAGGACCCCAGTGTGGTTAGTAAATTGACCACACCTGGCCATAGTAGGGAGTCTTCATGGTCCACCTTAGGAGTATCCGGAGACCCAATGGCTAGCTTTCCTGGACTTGCTGGTGTAAGCATTGGATTGAGTTGTAAAGCAGGTGTGCTTTTCGATTGGATACCAGTAAACAGCAGTCTATGTGCTGTGCCTAGTTTACTAGCCGGTCATAAGCCCGGATAAAGAGGGAAGGTTGGGCATAGGGATAGCAACCCTACCCCGGAAAACCAATCCAATCGCTAAAGAAGCTTCAAAGCACAGAGGAAATATGAAAAATAAAAATAATCTTATTCCTCACTGGAATCGGAGAGACGAAATGACGCCGGTTGGTAAGAGCCTTCGGGAAGCCAATTGGGCGATGTCTCTTCGCTTCTCTCGATGAAGCGAAAGTAAACATGGGGACATGGAATGTTTGAAGCTGGCTGGTAAGGATGCCCAGATTGCAAAAGAGATAAGAAGGTATGGCATAGAAGTGCTAGGCTAGGAATCTGCGAGGAATCAGCACATGGAATGGAAGTGGACTCTCTAAACTGTCAACTTGAGAGTGAATAATCTCCGATATTGTCACCCAGATAACCACAAGCGCAATGAGTTTTGGAGTTGCTATCATGATGTCCCCTTGAAGAGCATCGAAGGCTTTCTCTCATGCAGGATCACCATCATGACAGCAAGATTAAACTCAAAAGGAAGGAAAGTTGCAACCATATAATGCTACGCTGTGCACCTACAAATAATGCAGATCAAGAGAAGACTGAGGAATTCTATTGACAACTGCAATCAGTAATGGACAAGACCCCAGCCCGGTTGGCGACATCCAAATTCTGATGGGTCACATGAATACCAAACTGGGAGTGGACAACACAGGAAGATAACCAATCATGGGTCGAGAGGTACTCGGTGAAATGATGCATGAGAATGGAGAACTGTTTGCAGATTTCTGCGCTTTTGTTGATTTGGTGATTGGAGTGAGGCAGTGTGAACAAACAGAGATATTCACAAGGCGACATGGATTTCATCGGATGGACACTTACTTAA